TGCAAGAATTCTCTAAAACAAGGTACAGAGCACTAAGATGAAATCGGTCTCTAGTGATGTGCACAGAGCATATATTAGCACAAAAAAAAGTGAAAACACTGTAAGGGGATACAACTCAGTCTCCCTCAGTAGCTGGCTAGGCGACAGATCTTTAAATAATGTTATTAAATTCTCATCAGCAATTTTTGGAACCCTTCCTGATCATCACCATCACTGTATTTGTACAGTACAAAACAAGTTGAGGCTCTGACACTATAAAGTCTATCACTGGGAAAATCACCATGGCTGAGGACTTCCACAGCCAAGCACCAATAATGATAAGGCCCAAATACAGACTTTGTAAGCAAGATATGCATCCACAGACAATGCCATGCTCACCCTAACCATATCATCAGACCAGAAATAATAGTTTGCTTACTTTTAAATAAAAAATACTTGATTCTTCTTTATAAGAATTTAAGTTACATTCAGCAATTGCTTATCCTGAAAGTCTCCCTGCACTATTTTTAATTAAATATTGCACCTGATTGTCTCCAGATGAAGAAGAAAGTGAAAGGCTGCATTTTCTGTTCTTGCATCTTAGCCAAAACTTGTGATCAACAATTCATCCCCCTCTTTCTTCTCTTCTGTTTCCCAGAAGTGAGTTTCTAGCCCACACTGGAGTAGAAACTAGTCCTTATATATAGGTGACTTTATGACTTTACACCTTTACTTCTATAAGTCAGTCCACTTCTCCAATCTTCAAGGTATTTCTGTAAAGCATCACCATTCTACACTGCATTAATTATGATTTTCAAAATCCTCAAGGGAGTTAAAAGGTCCAGCCAGAAAGTAAACCTAAGGAACAACATTCCTTTCTTCCAGTTATTGGAATTCATAGATCCAATGTAAAGTCAGGAGGTTTTTTTTACACACAGTGTTCTTCAAGGCAGTTCCTTGTTCTGCCTCTACCTCCCACATCAATAATCACCTGTTTTACTCTCTGTAGCACAAGGCTTCTGAATCTGCTGCTCTTCTCTTGCTAATATGCCACTCTGATCTTAACTTTGATTAACATAATTAATTGCTCAAGTAATTTTTCTTACAGCAATATTGCTTTTAAATGGTGCTAATATATTGCTGCTTTTTTGGATGTGAAAGAGGTTTGTGGTCTTGAAAAATTATCCTTTTGCTGACAGCTGTACTAATGTACATGCTCTGATGCCATGTGGTACCTCACCTTTCCTTGCATCTTGGTCATTTTATCAAAATATGTCATTTTTACATTCTCCTCCTGTTTTACAAAAAAAAAAATCATTGCTCGGATGAAAAGGCCCCTGAAGCCAGTGAAATCAACTGTGACACAGAAGAAAGCAAGGGGGAAAATTATTACTCATTTAATTCTCTGCAGTTGTTCCCTTGCCTGCTGGTACTCTAGGTATATAGCTATACTATACAATGGGTTTGTTCTCAAAGCAATCTAAATATGCTATCTTTATTTCCTGCTCTATGACATTTTGGGAGGTGAGGGTTGTTATTCTACCAAGAACATTACCCAGATTCAAATAAGGGCAGCAGCCCCAGGTGGGTTAGAAAAAAACATCAATAGGAGTGGAGATGAGAGAGTTCTATGTAGTTGGCTTTGCTTCAGTAACCATCATATTATAAAATTACATGTTTTAGAAATTCATTTAGCAGCTCATTTGCTTAGAATAAGTTTCATTGTTTCCTTGTTGTTTTCATCTCTAGTTTCCATCAGGTTTAGGGCATCAGTTTATTTTAGACATCTTTGCTAAAGTAGCTGTCTCAGAAAGCACATTAAATTTTCATTTCTAATTATATAGGTAATTCACTATAACAAATAATTTTTGCCAGTGATTACTGGAATCTTGTCCCTATATATTTATCATCAAATAACATAATTCTTCAGGGTTTTTTCAAGATCCTACTACAATACTTTTAAGTAAGAAAACAGATTAAATAATCCATTTAATCATGGATTGTTCGACCAAAATTATAACAACTATCCAGATAGCCATCCCTATTGAAAATAAAGAATTTTGATGTCTTGTAATTAAACAGCAACAAATGGAATTAAAATTATTAATGACTATACAAAAATGATAATGGGGTTAGCAAAAAAAGGTAATAGATATGTTTTAAAAACACTAACGACTTCTTTCTAAATATGCTAGAAAAGAATAGATGGTTAAAAGATTTCTTTGTCTTCAAATCATGCCTTTCTTCTCCTCAAATTATCTAAATTTTAAGATATTTTTATCCAGTTACAGAAGTATTGGATAGATGAAATTTGCCATATGCGAAGCCTAAATGAGTCATCGAAGTCAATATGACAGCCTTGAACTGTTGGATAAAAAGGAAGTTCACAAATATCTTACAATGTAGATTCATTAGCAAAGACATACAATTTGTAGGTGTTCTAATGCCTCCTCCTTTTTAGGCTTTCGGCTGTGTATCCTACAAAGGGAAATAGAAGGTTTTGAAAAAATGGGGGGGGAAATTAGAAAACGGGAAATGGAAATTGACAGAATTGACAGAATTAGTCAGGGAATTAGTATCGAAAGAATATACAAGAAAAATTTTAAAAAGGTTGCATTAACAAACTCACTGGGGGACACAAGCACTTTCAGAAAAATTCTTGAAGTTTTTTGGATGTAATGCAATATATGAGATGGCAAAACAAGAAGTAATCGGGTGAACGATATGTAGAAAAATAAACCAGACCTGGGCACAACAAATGCCCCTGGGAGGTCGATCGGTGGCTTATCACCCTTTCAAAAGAAGACAGGTCAATTTCATGGAATTACCAGAGGTAGGGAGATATAAATATCTACTAGTAATAGTGGATCAACTGACCTGGTGGGTGGAAGCTTTTCCCAGTGCACAGGCTACTGCACAGGTAGTATCAAAGATAATCCTGGAAGAAATTGTGCCTAGGTACGGAATAATAGACTATATTGATTCCGACATTTCACCTCTAGGATAATAAAACAATTGGCAGAGGCTTTAGGAATCCAGTGGGAGAATCATACCCCTTGGCACCCTCAAAGCTAAAGAAGGGTGGAAAGAATGAATCAAACTTTAAAAAATCAATTATCAAAATTGATGCTAGAAACAAAATTGTCCTGGGTTAAGTGTCTTCCTTTGGCTCTCCCAAATATCAGGACATAGCCACACTCAGAGGTGGGATTGTCTCCATTCGAAATGTTATATGGGATGCCTTACAAACATGGAATGCCGGTAGATCATCCTAAAATAGAAGATAACCAGTTACAACCATATTTAATAACTGTTAACAAAAATCTACAGGAACTATGGAAATGTGGACTGTTAACCCAGTGCACTCCTCTGGGATTCACCATACATCAAATCCAGCCCAGTGTCAGTGTGCTGATCAAAACCTGGAGAGAGGTCCCGCTAGCTCCTCACTGGGAAGGCCAGTTTCTCGTGCTTTTAACCACCAACACTGACATTCAAACTGCTGAGAAAGGCTGGACTCGGGCAACACGAGTAAAGAAAGTTGAAAGAGAGGAGGAGCCCAAGTGGAAAGCAACCTCCTCCCCAGGAGACCTGAAAATAAAATTGCAGCGACACTGATGTCCAAGGAAAATACGACAAGTTGTTCAAAACCCGGATGTCCTAGTTACCCCTGTAAACGTTTTGCATGTGCTTATTGTCATGAGATGTGGGTGGTACATTGTAAAAGGGGATAGAGACCGAAAGGATTATGCACTAAGTGTTTAGAGGAGGAGCAAAGCTTGACCCACTCTGTTTTTGTACTTCCTACCAATTTGGGTTTAGTAGAAGTAGATTCCCTGCTGTGGCACCGATTACACCAAAAAGGGATAAAAAGAAATTAGACTCATGACCAAAGGTTTTAGCGATCGGGTGCCAGAGAGAGAGCAAAGCCCCCTGTTCGGCAGACACTGTGAAATTACCCAGGTGGGGCACATTTAAGAGGCGGTACGCAGCTCGACTGGGCCAGGAAATCACAGAAGGATATTCTTGCTGCCGAGAAGATGGTCCACCCCACTGCCGGCTGCAATCCGGTGGGTAAAGGCGCTGTCCCCAGGACCAGAGCAAACCTCCTCAGCCCTGTTGGGAAATTCTAGTAGAGCAGTAGTTCAACACCTGACAATGTCAAGATTTCAGAGACTTGAAATCAGGATCTGAATGGTTAGATAGTTTCAACAGTAAAAAAAAAACAACTCCAACAAACTTGGATTCTGTTTTAATTGCTATTTACTCGGGTTCAAGTTAAAGCAGTCCCATAAGAGTTAAACCAGCCAGAGACCAATAAAGCTGGAGGAGGAGGGTTAAGGAAGGGTTTAAATTTCTTTTTGCTTTGGGGAGGTGTGGTTTGCTGGGGGTTCTTTGGGCACAGGAAGGCTCCAGTGATGCTCAGGTGCCTGAGGGTGAAGGTGGCGGGAGGCGCAGCTGTGCCCGTGAGGCCGCGCGTGCGGAGCTGTGTCCAGCTGGGCCCAGCAGGAGCGGGATGTGCCTGTGGAGCAGGGCTGGAGGCGGCCCTGGGGATGTGTGGAGGCCTGGGGCAGCTGTCCCGTGCAGCCAGGCTGGGAGAGCCGGGGCTGTGCAGCCGGGAGAGGAGCAGGGGCTGGGGAGGCCTGACTGTGGCCTTCCAGTGCCCAGAGGGGGCAGAGAGCCATGGGGGAAGGGGAAGGTTGGGATCAGATGTTTGCAAGAGCTAGGAGGGTGCTGAGCCAGTGCAACAGGCTGCCCAGAGAAGCTGTGGATGCCCTGTCCCTGCAAGGTTCCAGGCCAGGCAGGACAGGGCCCTGAGCACCGCGATGGAGCCAGCGGCAGCAGAACCAGGCCATGGCTGCGGTGCCTCCATGGCCTTCTGGAACTCCATGGGTGAGCAAAGCTCAGCCCCGTTACCTGGGCATGGAATGTTGGCACCGGTTGCCAGGGGCACTCCTGCTCCCAAGGTTCTGTTGACACCGAGTCTCTTGAGCCAGTTGACGGATTCTCTGCTGCGCATGCAGACGTGGAGAGTCCGTCTTCTGCATCCCGGCTGCGTACAGAGAGCCGTGTGCTGACATTTGCCAGCCAAACTCTGCACTGACTGTACAGGTGAGTGCAGATAACTCCTGAAAAGCTGTGTGTCATGCTGAGGGGCTGTTCTGGGCTGCAGCATGGGCTGCAGATGGGCTCCAGTGCCAGAGTCACGGACTTCCCATCTAGCTTTGAGCAGGAACTGAAGACTTGGCAATGGGAGTCTTGGGGCATGGGGGTATTCAAGAAAATTGGCATTCCAAATAGATAATCTCCCCTGTACTTTTCTGATAGGTTTGGAACAGCAGGTTTCTGTCAGTCCAAAAAATCTACAGTGGGATACACAAAGGAACCTACGGGATTCATCAAATCCCAGACATTCCTATTGTGGTGTTTGTCCCACTTCCTTTGCGGTGCTTTTACATCAGCAAACACCATGAGCTCAGTAAGTACATCATTACGCAGTGCTGATCTGAATCCTGAAACATTTTACGGGGTACTTCTAGGAAGCATTTCAGGAGTATGTAGCAAGAGCACAAGAATAGAAACCTATGAAAACTTTATATAACATATTGTTCTGGAATACTGAAGGTTTTGGATCTCTGTGGGTGTTAGCAGTAAATCAAGAATGCTTACAGTGTGAGCAGCAGCCTGCTAGAATTGGGAACTGGTCTCCTCATTTTCAAGCCATTGGGACAGGCTCCTTCTTGGTGAGGCAGCTTGTCCGAGTTCAGGGGTGATGTCTTTGCTCTGAGGAGATGCACTTAGGTGGGAATGGCCCATAGCACCATTGGATGCATATTGCAGCCTTTGCAGGAGTGTTTTGTGTATCCTTGTGTGCTGTCATTGGGGTGGCAAAAACCAAGTGCCATGTTCATATTAGTGCCACAGAAAATGCTAAGGCTTTGTTCTCTCTCAGCGTCAGCAAAAGCGCCCTGGAGAGGCGCTGGATTCCACTCCAGCTCGGAAACGGAGCAGGCTGCTGCCCTCCAGAGCTGCTGGAACCTTGCAGACAGAGCAAATTGACCGCGAGGAAAGTGCTTCACCTGCTTTAGAGCCTGGTAAGAACAGAAACTGCTTCTGGAGGCTTGGAGTTCATTTGAATGTGTGCTTTGGCCACTTCCTAGGCCCTTTCCTGGGGAGGAAGGGAACCTTGGGCTTGAGGAACCACCTGGTATGGCATCCCTAAACAACCAGCCCACTGACAGCTGGTTTGGTTTGTTACTGGACTCTGTCCACTAGCAACCAGCCCACTGACAGCTGGTTTGGTTTGTTACTGGACTCTGTCCATTGGCCTCTAGTGGGAGAGGAGCTGTGTAGCAAAGGCCCCAAGTGCTGCTCAAACACCTGAATGTGAGCTCGGACGAGCTGGCAGTGACTGCAGCTGCCACAGTGGAGGTGGCAGCCTGAGTTTGGCACCTCTCAAGCTGCACAAAGATGAAGAAAAGTTAGTCATTAGCGGAGGCCCATTCTTCAGGGGAGCATGGACAGCATGGTATGGTAAAATTACCATTCCCTCTGGTTTTGGTTGGTTTTCTCTCCTCTGTGCTAAACATTCCCCTATGGGAAAGGAATGATCTGTTGGTGTGCACCTCCCGTAAGCTGTTGTCATCCAACAGAACTTGTGAGGAGCTCAGGTGCTCTTCCTCTTGTTTTGCCCCTTCAGGGCACAGGGCAATGCTCAGCAGGACACATGAGGCAATGCACAGAGGACAATGCTCCCTCTGGACTGCTGAGGGCAAAGCTTGAGTGAAATGTTGGACACATTCCTGAACAAAAGACACCTTGGGCACAGGGAATCCAAGCACAGTCTGTTCCACAGTGGCAGCCCATTTCATTCCTCTGCAATCTCTGACCTCACTTCTAACCTTCTCTTTTTCAACTGCTGAAGAAGTCATAGATCTCACAGGAGATTCTCCAGAGCCTGAAGTCATCACCATCAGCGACGATGAATCTCCTGTGGTAAGTAGTGACTGGCACACTCCTCTCCATGTTGCATCCATAGGAATTTTCTTGCCCTCTGCAATCTTACTGAGTCCCCTATGCTCAAATGTTGAAAGATGTCTCAGATTTACCACTTTAGACCCAGTTCCCAGTCAACCCCAAACACACTCACAAACACATCAGCATGCCTGAGAATTGGTTGCAGAGTGGATGAAGAAACTAAAAGAGGTTGTTGCTTCAGTGATTCAAAAGAGAGCACAGGAAGTCTTTGATTTGAAGAAGTGTTTTAGCTGCAGCATCAGTTTAAGGTCCCCCTGTCACTGAGATGTAAAAAGCAATTGCAGCTGACTGGGGTACACACTAATTCTTTTTCTTATTCCTCTAAGTCTTTAAAAGGGGCACACTTGGGATTTTTGATTTTTCCCCTACTATTTTGAAAGAATATGCTTTCATCCAGCCCTCACACCAGTGTCTCTGCCCAAATTTGGGATGCCTCTACTGTTGTGCAAAGCAGACACATGCAGCAAACATTGCATGGCAGTTATATCCTGACAGGGTTGTTCCTGAACCTGTGCAAAGAAAAGGCCTCAGATTTCACAACAGACTTTGCATGACCCAGCTCCTCTTACACCAAACACCAGAGCAGGTTTGGGTAGAGGGGGTTTTTCTCTTCAGTAGCAGATCCTATAAAAAGTAGTGCTCAGGCTATCACAGGTGAACTTGCCAGTTGGAGGGAGAAAGAGGGAAAGAAACAGCTCTGTCCCAAATCCAATTAGGGAACTGAAACGGGGGAGCAGGAAGGGTCAAGTTCCACTGGTTCCTAAGTGTGTCCATTTCTACCCCGTTCTACCCCTGCAGCAGAGCCCGCAGCAGCCACGTCTTTCCAGGGCCTCAGACAATTCACCTGAGCCACTGGAAAGGAACAATGGAGAGGAACCAGGAGAAGATGATGGGTATGTGAGAGAGAAAGTGTCTATTAAAACTCTGATTTCATATATGTGGTAGAAAGAGGTTTCTGCCAAGCTGTAGGGTTCTGCAGAACTCTGTGCAAATACTTCAGACCTGGAATATAGTGGTCTGCCTGGAGGAGAATTAAAAGAAACCCAGCAAAATCCAGCAGAAACCTTCCTTCCCTGTTTGTGAAGCCACAATTGAATTTAAGAGAACTGCTTGACATGCTGAAATGCTTGCAGTACATAAAAATTCTTGCAATGATGGTGTTTCTGGGTGAGAATGGTTCTTATTCAGAACAGGGGATGTTTTGAGTACCAACATTTTCTTTGTTGTCAACCCTTGGAGGCCAGTGAAAGAAATGGCTGTGCGTTTAAATGGCTGTATGTTCTTTTGGTTCTCCTCTCTCTAGTGATTGGCTGCTGTTTGAATTTGATCCTCCCTATTGGTCAGATGAGGACTCCCAGGTGAGGATGCACATGTTCTTGTCCTGCTTTGTGGGAGGGAAAGGGGCAGAGGGGGAGCTGCACAACTCACTTGTCTTAGGTGGGTGCCACAGGCAGCTGGCTGGAAGCACAGCCTGTGCTGGGAAGCTCCAAGTTGCCCATTCCTACAGGTGCCTCCTTGGTGCTGTCCACAGAGGGAGAAGCCCTTGCCAGGATGGCACTGGCAGATCCATGTGTTCCTTGGAATTCTAGCATTGACTGATAGAGTTCTTTATTGCCAATGCCTGTTGTGGTTTCCTTTCTTCAGCAGCTCTTTCATCTAACATGAAGTGTTTAGGGTTAAAATTGCAGAATTTTCCAGTTTTGGGGAGAACAAGGGAAAGAAACAGCTCCAGGCCAAATTGAATTAGGGAACAAGAACAGAGGAGGTGGGAGGAGGGTTTTCAGGTGCTTCCTAAGCTGCCTGTCTGTTGGTACCCTGTTGCATCAATGAGAGCAGAATCAGCAGCAGCCACTTGGTTGTTTTCAGGGCAGCAGCTGTTTGTGCTCCTGCTTTGAATGTTCTTAAGCCAACTTGGAGGGTGAGAGCCTAGCCTTCCTCACTCCTCTGCTAGAACTGCTCTCTGAGCTGAGGTTTGCATGCAGCACCGGGGTCCCACCCAATCTAATTGTGTCTTCTTTTCTTTCCCTTCTCATGTGCATCAATGGAAGCTTCCTGAAGGTGAGTTGATGTTTGACACTTGGTAATGGACTTTGATCTAGAATGTAATCATGACTTTTGTTCTTTTCCAAGAACCTGGAGCAGCAGGGCTTGAAACTGCTTTTAGTAAAAGGCAGAGGACAGGCTCAAGCTGCTAGCCAGTGTCTTAGAGAATGGATTCAATGTGTGTGTGGTGGCCTCTATCAGTCACAGTGGAAAATCCCTGCCAGAAGAGTTGAGGCTGAATACTTATGCAGAAGGAACTGGAATTTGGTGACGCTTCCTACAGTTTTAATTGATGAGTGACTGATTCTTGCAGAAGTCATTGATGCCTGCATTTTCGGAGAGTTAAAAAGCAAACAGCATTTCTTCACCCTCTGGCTGTTACAGACCACGCCATTTCAAATTGATCTCTCTTGAACTTGCTCAAGATGTTGCCCACAAAGACTGGCTTGGTTACTGGGTTTGGTGCAACGGGTCAATAGTTCTACACTTGGGAGAGACATTGATTGTTTCTTTCAGTGCTGCACTTTCGGTCTGGGTGCTCAGTGCTATTTCACCTATCAGACACGCTCACTAGCAAAACTTCTATTATTTACAAATTTGAACAAAGAAAGAAATAAGTATTGATTGGTTACAAAGTGACACCGTCATCTTCCTAATTAGTCTTCTGTCTTCTTTTGTGTCCCAATTGTCTCACTTCTCCCTAGAATTCACCTTCTTAGCTGGCTGTAGAGTGAACAAAGCAAAGGTTTTGTGTTGCTCCATAGCAGAGCAGTTGTCGTACTGTATTAGGAACAACCAGAAGTACGATATGACTCTCTTAGTTGCTTTGTCAAAGAGAGCAAAGTTTATTATTCCACATCCTCTTTTATAGACTTGTTCCAGAAGGTCTGAGAGGTAAAACTCTCATTGGTCCTTAAACTTGCACATCACTATCATTGCTTAATTGGAACAGCACCCCTTGACTGTTTCTTGCAAGGAAACAACAAGGATTTTAAACAGCTGTTTGCTAAACGGCACCTGCAAAGATTGCTGTCCTCTACCAAGGACTGCTTGGATTTTTCATTATGCTTTCCCAGGCTAGAGTGAGAAGCTTGTTGTCACTTAGTTTCACACAGACTGCGTGTTCCTGCTTGCTTTTTGCATTTAGCAACCACAAGTAGACCCAATGTCTGGAAAGGTTCAGCCTTACTCTTTGGGAAAGTAGTTTGTTTCCGATTGTTTCCAACCCAGATGAACACAGTCCATTTAAAATAGGAACCATTACTATTTCTAGAACTCATTTGAAGGGCAGCTCCAAGGAGAGAGAGAATAATAGATCTAACTTCTGAAAATTCAATTACAGTGCATGGAGAAGAAAAGAAAACTGCTGCACTGAACAGCCAGGAACAGGTGGATGGCTCTGCCAATGGAAGTGGAGCTAATGACGCACCTGTGGCTGATGCAGCCCCTGCAGAACACGGAGCAGAGGAGGATACTGGAAGTTCAGCGTACGTATGGCTCATGCCCTACCAAACACGGAACTTTGTGCTTTTGTTTCTTTTCTCAGTTGGAATAAGTTCTACTGCTATGCCTGCTGCATCTTTGAAACCTTCCCTACGCTACTCATTTCCATACTTCTCCTGTGCTGCATGATGATCAAATGATACCATTTGCATTTAGGGAGAAAAAGGCAGCCCAAGGCAGACGCCACAGAACCTTAGAGATGAGAGAGGGCCTATGGCAAGGAAGGGCATTGGTCACAGCCCATAGCTCAGGATTGCATTTGCTTTTTCTGACAAGTTCTAGTAGCCAGCTTAGATATGGAAATACTTCCATTGCTAGCAATGAGGCTTGGCATCATGGCACCAGCAGGCAGCAGCTGGGCAAATTCCAGCAGAAATTCCCTGCTGGAATGCTGCCAGCTGGCTCCCTTTCTCCTGCAGCTGGAGCCATTCTTCCCAAGGTACACTTACACACAGGCAGCTGTGCAGGTCATGCTTTTATGGCCAGTGCTGGATGTCACAAGCCCTGATTTCTTTGCTTCTGGCATGGAGATCTTGCAGTTCAAGTTGGCTGCCTGCACAGTAAAATCCTCGTTCTGCAGAGCAACAGCAAAGTCCTGCTCTAGGAGCGCTCCAGCAGAATAAGAAAGATGCAATGCATTCAGCTGATTCAATTAAACCAGGTGTCTGTGGCACTAGGGAGGACAAAGCACATGAAAATTATGGTGGAAGGTTTTCTAAAGTGGTTTTTGGGGGTGAAAGGGAAAGGCATCGGTTTCAATAAAGCTGGTGTGCTTTGAGCCTTTGGGAAAGGCAAGGTAGGAGAGAAATGGAGTATGCAACTTTTAGGTGTCAGTTCTTAAATATGCCACCTCAAGGGCTTTCACTATTCTTAAGCATAATGCCTCTTGCCAATGAATTTGGACATGTTTAAGTTTAGGTTGTTCCCTCTGTAGGTGAACAAATCCCACCACTTGGTTCATATAGAAAAGGAATACATTGTCCCTTCAGTTCTCTGTTCCAGAATGGAACTGCTCTGAAAGAACTCAGTGCTGCAGCATTCAACACTGACCAAAGGCTCCTTCCTGGGGCTGGATCTTGCCAGAGCCATGTTACTCTGTAGCGTTAGAACTGGCTCCTGCAATGAATATTCCGGGCTGAATGGTTCCCAGAGGACAGCTGGATGCTGTAGTTCCAAAGCTGTTCATGATGACCCACTGCAAGTCCAAGTTTCCAAACACCAAGTTTAGGCCAGCGCTAAAGACTGCTCTTAACTTCAAATCCCAGAGCAGGGTGACTGACTGCACCTTCCTCCTAGTGAAAATCAGGATGCTCTTTCCCTCGAGGCACGGAGACCCCAAATCCTCATTAAATGCAGCAAAGAGAGAGTTAAAGACAGCAGGCTTCTTCAAAGGAAATGGGCCAGGGCTAGTGATTTTATGTATCAATAACCATTGAAGTGGGGTGATATTAACAGCTGCACCTTCTTTCTGCTTCTGTTCCCTCTAGTGCAGAGCCAGGAGTTGTTATTAGCTGTCCAATTTGCATGGACTATTACTCAGAGGTAAGGATGCACCTCTTGTCATCCTTTGTGCTTTGTGGGAGGAGGAAGAAGCCAAAAGGGGAGTTGCCCAAGTCAGCTGGCTGATGTGGGCAGCTGGCTGGAAGCACAGCCCTTGCTGGGAAGCTCCACAAGTCCCTTCTTGCTGGTGAATGGAGAGGGACAAGCCCTTGCCAGGATGGCACTGGCTGATCTGTGGCTCCCTCCTGGCTTCTAACTGATTCCAGATGCTCTCAAGTCTCATTTGCCTGCTGCCAATAGAGCAGCAAACTCCAGTTCTTTCCTCCCAATACATGTGGTTGTTGTTTCCTTTCTTCCAGATTATGCAAAGTGGACGACAGC